TTTTTGGGGTAATTTCTGGGATTTTTTGGCGCAGTGGGGGCGCCCCTGGAGCTGCCGCGGGTTCCGAACCCGTCGGGGTCGCAGGTGGAGCTTTGGCACCGCCGCTACCGGGAGAGTCTGGAGCGACTTTTTGAGGAGCACAAAGAGGGGTTCGGGGTCCCCCCCGAGCGGCACCTGAGCTTCGTGTGAACCCCAAAAAAATCCCAAAAATATCGGGGGACACCCAAAAAAAATCGGGGAGTGCCCCGGGATTTCTGTACCCCAATAAATCGATATTAAACCCAATAAAATGTGGAATATTCTGAATTTTTTATTATTTTTTGAAGGGGTTTTGGGACTTCTGAGCTTCGTGTGAACCCCAAAAAAATCCCCAAAATATCGGGGGACACCCCCAAAAAAATCGGGGAGTGCCCCGGGATTTCTGTACCCCAATAAATCGATATCAAACCCAATAAAATGTGGAATATTCTGAATTTTTGGGTATTTTTTGAGGGGGTTTTGGGACTTCTGAGCTTCGTGTGAACCCCAAAAAAATCCCCAAAAAATCGCGGGACACCCCAAAAAAAATCGGGGAGTCCCCCGGAGTCTCTGTACCCCAATAAATCGATATCAGACCCAATAAAATGTGGAATATTCTGAATTTTTTATTATTTTTTGGGGGGGTTTTGGGATATCTGAGCTTCGTGTGAACCCCAAAAAAATCCCCAAAAAATCGGGGACACCCCAAAAAATTGGGGGAGTTCCTCAGAGTCTCTGCACCCCAATAAATCGATATCAAACCCAATAAAATGTGGAATATTCTCAATTTTTGGGTATTTTTTGGGGGGGTTTTGGGACTTCTGAGCTTCGTGTGAACCCCAAAAAAATCCCAAAAATATCGGGGGACACCCCCAAAAAATTGGGGGGTTCCCCGGGGTTTTTTGTCCCCCATTAATTGGTTTTCAGCCCCATTAAATTTTGGATTTTTTTCAATTTTTTTTAGGAGTCACTCCCCCTGGCCCCTCCCCCCGCCCCAATTAAGGCCCTTAATGAATTAACCACGCCCCTTTATTATTTATTTATTTATTTATTTCCGATCCGGCGAGGCCCCAAC